GAGGGCAATGGCACTGATGCATCAGCAACCTACTTGCAGTACTGCATCAGAAATGCATATTTTTTTGCTCTGCGGGGGCTTTCTCACGCGTGGTGACGTAATCTCTGCAACCAGACAAATTCTGTCTCGGAAGTTTCTGGAGCAGAGGCAATGCAGCATCACACCAAGCAATCGTTCTTCATGATTTACATGTGATGTGCCATGATCTTATATCTTAGGCATGTAACGACGCATCAATTAATTAATTGACTTATTTGCTTATTTATTAAGATTATGACACAAGAATCGTTAGAATCGATAGTTATGATTCATTCAAATTACAGTCTATACACGTGATATACTAATGTGAGTCTAATATAGTGACTCAAACTGTACAACAAACCAGATGGAACCACGCGACGAGAAACAATTTAAACGAAAGCACGAATGCAATGATTCCAAACTCAAATTGTCACCCGGCGAATAGGAACATTTTGCCGCACAGCTTGTGAAGTGCTTTTCACATCCCTCCCTTCCTTCGTTTCCTTTTGAACAGTTGCAAGGGTGGAAAGGAACGCCACGCTGAATGGACCAGAATGCATGCGATCCCAAGGTGTTTATGGCATTGTGCCGTTGCTCCAAAGGAGAATGCCTTATTAAATAAAGAACAGATCCGACTATGTGCGGTTGTTTTCAAGTCGCAGAGTGCTTCATCCGCAACTTTGGCTCTTTGACATGCGATCTTCAAACGCCTACAAAGCTGACGCAGTGCTGCTGCTGCCGCTGCGCTAGAAAACTCCGTAACAAACTTGCGGAAAGTGTAGAGCTTGTGGTGGCGTAAGCATAATCCAGTCGGTACAGCCTGCCCGCAGCAGCTCACAGCTTGGATCAATGCGATTTGAGTTTAAACAGAGCTCATTGAAGCTGGATTTATGGGAACTAAGTACACAGGCCACTCTGCAGACACTGTTACACCGGTGATATGTACACCCAGCGACACTTGAGTGAAGTTAAGATTGATCAGGCATGAACACCACAGTGTCTTACTACCCTGGTAACATTTCTTCTTTGGTTTTCTGGTTATATTCTATGTCGCTATTTCATTATACCTGATGATGATTGCTTGTGTTGCAATCGAAACGTCGTATGCTATTATTTAATTTATTATTTTATTTTTATACGTGACTTTACCGAAAAAACCAAAGAATAATTCCTGCAGTCACGAAAGCTCCAAAATTAAGATACCCTGGTAACAGTTTACAAAGTGCATTTAAATAATCGATAAGCTAAACATATGCAAGGCTGCATGCATGATTATGACTACATTGGTTTGTTATTCAGACAAAGCCTTAAAAAAAAATCGGCATTCCAAACTTTGAGTTCGAAAGTATGTTGTCCGTGCAGGTCTGGTTGCCTGCTGTGCTTTTATGATTTGCCAGAATGACCACCTCGTGCAAATGTTATTTTCCTAGCTCCGTATGCACATGTGTTTCTATTTGCCTTTGCGCTTGTGTGCATATGAAAAGAATGTGTTTTTAAAAAGCAGATTTTTTTATGGCATTTTTTTCAGTTCTTTGTTTTTACTTTTCATAATAAACGTGTTTGGGTTAGATCGCGTTATTTATAAATGTGTCGTAACCCTCAACCACCCGACATGGCCAATCAGTAAAAAAGTGTCACGTTGACAAAAGACAAATAGTTCACTACTTTAGCCCACCAGTGTGTTGAACACTTTTTTACTGATTGGCCGTGTCGGGTGGTGGAGGGTTACGACACATTTATAAATAACGTGATGTAACCCAAAAACGTTTATTATGAATAATATTGGTCGCGAAAGCCTACGTGTTTTTGCTTTTAATTTCATTTCATAGCAGAACATATGCAGGCTAATGTCTATTAAGAACTAGTTCTGCCCTTGTGGATTAGACTTCACTGATATAAGAAACGTGTAATTTTACTATGATGTAATCTTCCATGAATGTTATGTTTTACGTTACAGTACAGTGCTGTGCTTTGTTGAATCTCTGTGAAGATATGTATTATGATCTGAAAATAGATCCAGCGGAATATAATTTAGAAAAAAGACAAAAAATAATAGTAAATTATATAGGTTCCCTTAGAGCATTGGCCAAGTTTCTGCCCAAATAAACACATGACATAATTGACATGGACATGTTACATTGCTAACATCTGCCGACATCTGTCTGCAAGATGGCATCTCTTCTGCCATTTTGCTACCCACTTAAGACCTCTGCTATATTCGGCGAGTGCCCAAAGTATGTTCCTCTAAAATATCTTCATCATTATCATCATTGCCAACCATGCTCAATCTTCTGCTGGATGAAGCCCCCCCCCCCCACCCTAAAAGGTGTCACCATCACTTGTGATCCTGTATGTAAGAGTTCACGTGAATAAATAACTCATGGATAAGACATTTATTTAATAAGCAAAAAATTCACCGGTTGTGTGATTATTTAATAATTTACATTTGTTTACAAAAATATTAATATAGCACTTTTTAATGAAAAATGCATCGTACGTGTGAGGAAGTATGCATATATATATTAAAACACATACATTATATAACAGTATCCCTCTTACCCGAGGAAGCAGGAATACATTTTCAGACTAACATTTCATTTACTGAGTTAATTTTCACTCTTCTCCCGTGTGCACTCATCACAGTCGTGAACATTTAGTGCAATGCATCTTTGTGCTTCGGGTTTATGCGGCCTTCAGTGGTGAGGCAAAGGCAACACATTCCTGCGGAGGGAGCTGGTAGGAACGTTGGGTTGCTCGGTCAATGGCCAGGGTCAACGGCGGCGTGGTGTATTCCGCAAATATGCCCGACTGTGAGGGCGGGCACAAGCCGGCGTGAGTCGGTTAAACGTTGAGTTTTATAAGGGCACCACGGGGTGACCAGCCCCTTCCCACCCTCTCCAGCCTCCTGGACCACCCAGCTTTCTTGTTGTTGGATGTAATTTTATGTTTGCTATTCCTCCAGATTCTTGTCGAGGAGGTGAAGGGTTACAGATGTTTTGAGAAAAAAAAAACTAATCCAGGTTTTAAATGACCATTTGGATGATGTACGGTATTTCTCTATGTGATGCAACAATTTAGAGGTCATGGATAGATTCAACTAACTTGGTAATGTTGTGCAGAGTAATAGAGGTATGGATTTAGGAATAGCAATGTGACTCTGACTGACCTGTATTGTTTGGCGCTGCTGATATGTAATTAGAAATAATAAACAAATACGCATTTCAAGATTATTGTGCTTCCTGCTTTTTTTCTCATGGGCTGAGACCTGAGGTCCTCATTGAGGATGCACCTTAATTATTGCATTATTACAAAGTCTCTTCAATTGGAGTGTTGGCCACTTTGTGTATAAACCAGAGTTGTAGGCTGCGAAGGGAAGATGAGGCTTGCTGTCTGCATGATTTGGGCTCACCCACTGTGGCATTTCGGCCGTGTGGCTCACTTCTCTTTTGTTGACCCTCATAAGTTGTCCATTCGGTGTAGGAGGCCAAGGGGGTGACCAGGAGCCCCCTGGCTGCAGCAGATTGACACTTGCTTTCCAGAGCTTAGAATGGAAAATGGAGTTTGCGTAGGGATTTTTTTTCTTCCTGTAGGGACCGCTTGATTTGAGGTTGTACGGCAGATGCAACGATGTTGCTGCCTTGGGTGTATGCTTTCAACTTGAGTTGCTGCCTTATTTCGATTGTTATGTAGGCCAACTGCATACTATTAAATGTTGATCACATGATGGGATATTTTTTTTAATTTATACATTTGTATTCACAATGACTGTGCTGGTAGAGCGAGTTAAAGCATCTCTTAAAAAAATATTTTTGCAGATGAATGCGAAAGCTTGCTTTCTCAGCAGTACATGTGGAAAAAAACAAAGTGATCGCTTTGAGGTTTTGGAATGACTTCAAAGACTCATTCTTTAAAGAGCACGTAACATCATATGAATTAACAACTCCAACCAGGCTTTTTGTTGGTGAGATGATACAGCTCTGGCTGGCCTTAACTACTTAGTAAGGCCAATACAAGATGTGTGATAAAACAAGTCACTATTTTCTGAAGCAATATTATACAATTGAATAGTTGTTTTTTAAAGCGACTCCCGATAGCAATGTACCTACGTGTATTATTAGCATGTGTATCTGGTATTCTTTTGTAGATTTGAAGCTTTCGTGACTGCAAGGAATCATATTCTTAGGTTTTTTCGGTAAAATCACGTAGGTAAAATATCAAAATTAATAAAAATAAAATAAAAATCACGACGGAGACTTGTGTTGCCTCCGAAACGTCGTGATTTTTATTTTATTTTAATTAATTTTGATGTTTTACCTACGTGACTTTACCGAAAAAACCTAAGAATATTTGGTATTCTTTTGTTGAGTGCTGCTTACTAGCAGCATTGCATTCTGAGAATACTTTAGGCAAATTCAATATGTTAACATCATCTCAAAGTGGGAAAACACATTTCTATGTTGAGTGGGATGAAAGTTGCAATACTCTACAGCGTTTGCATCTCACCACTGCGTGTTGCTTAAGCCTGCTTGATGATTGTTTTTATATTTGAAAAACTAGGGTCACTTATGTATTCTTGTCTCTTTTTATTGTGGTTTTACAATGTTATATGGTCTTTGAATAGCTTCGTGATGCTCAAAACTGTGTTATTAAGAGTGCCGCAATATGCAATGGACATTTGTAAAATGGCCTTTTGTGACAGCCATAAGCCCAATAAATGTTACAAGCGGTCTGACTGGCTGTGAAAAGAGAACGTAGGCAGTTAAGACCCGAAACTCCTATAGCACCAATTGGTTCCAAGACACAACAGACTCCCGTGGTAGTGTCGCTGCTAACCCTGTTCGTTTATTAGCATAACAGCTATAAAATGGGTCTAATGATGGCTTGTCAAAAGCCTGATTTACTGCTTTAGAGTCCTACTTATGGTGGCATATTTATGGCTGTGTAAGGCTCATGTTGTGATTTTGTTTTATTTGTGGCAGGCTGGCACCATGGAGGAGACGATATGGGAGCAGCACACAGTAACCCTTAATAAGGTAAGAACTCGCGCTACATTTAAAATCATAGTATATGGACATACGTTCTAATGGGAACTTAATTTTAGTTAAAAAAATGTATCTCTATCCAATGTAATTCATTATACAGTACAGTGGTTTACTTAGAAAATATTGTACAGGGTGGTAGATATGTCTTGTGACCCCCATTTAACTGTCAAAAACGTAATATTTTGAATGAAGGTTTATTTAAAACAGAAAAATTATTATGCAAAGGAAAATCCTATTGGGGGTCACAAGACAGCTGGACCACCATGTACATTAAAAAACTACAGTATACTGACCGTACACTAATGATCCATTAGGGTTTAGCCATCATCGATCTTGAGAATCTAGAATGGTATGCATATTTATCCATCATTTAGCCTTCGCTGATTTCGTTGTAGTTATGGGGAGGATGAATGGTGTATGACTGAGCAAAGGCAGATTTGCATAGCAGAGTGTTATCAGCACAAAGACAATTTTATGTAGCGAGTTCCCCCACCCTCCCCCTTCACCCCTTTTAAGTATTTTCACTTAGACCAATTTCAAGAATGCGAAATAAATTTTCAAAAATATTTCATAGGCTCATGCATATATAGGATGTAGTTAATTTACACAAGGCATTTGACAAATGAAGCCAGAAATACTCAATAGATAAAAAAAAAATTCCTGAGCCTATTTACAGCTATGCAAATAATGTAGGATGGGATTTTATTTTGTATAAACATTTTGTAATTGAACTCAGAATCTTAGACCATTGGTCTCACCACAGGAGACCCCTTGCCATAAAGTTACATTTTACCAACTACAGCTTAGACCTTTTGCTTTCAGAGTAACTGCAGTTACATCAAACTTGCAATGATCCAGTGTTTTCCAGTCTTAATGCCAAGTAGATACGATATGGCCATTTATCTTAAATATTTTTTTTTCAATTGAGTCAAAAGTATTGATTTATTTTCCAAAGTCTGTTCACTTTTAAAATTGTCACCAAGGCAATGTGTAAATGGTGTAACATATATATTTCATCCTATTATATTTTAAATGTACCAAGGTAGTTATTCTAGCTTGTGTTTAACGTGGTTTTTATTGGATTAAGAGTTGGAAATTTGTATTAAGTTCATTTAAAACCTCCACATTGATGACAGGAAGTAAAAAACTGTTTAAAACTAAATCATGAGCAACTTACGTTGATTAACAAATTTACTTTAACTTACTGTGGAAACAGAATATCCATTTGAATCGCCTCTCTACATAATATATAATTTTAGTTATATTGTTCACATTATTATAATTTTAAATGTAACCGTGGTTGACCAACTTAATATTTGCAACTCCCACTCATTGACAGTAATTGCAGAATGTGCTCTTACACCTAATTGCTAACTGTGCCTCGTTAGTAGACTGTCAAATGGAAACAGATTATGCATGGTTCACTGGGCCCTGGGAATGTTGGCCACACTGTGGTTGAGTTCAAAAACATTTCATCTCCTCATAGCCTGTTGCTAATATACATAAGGCATTTTTGGAACGTGGCCTGTGCAAGGCATTTGTTCAAACAAATGTGTAGTTTCAGTATGTATATTGGCTGTAAGCAAGTAATGTGACATTTAATATAATATTGCATTAATTGTTCACACAATGTTGTTACATTCACCCATATAAACAAACATGCATTTGCAATATGTTGAGCATGAGCTATGTTGCCTCAATGCACTTGTCGATATATTGTATATACATTGTTAAATACCTCAAGTGATTTATTTTGTAGGCTTTTCATCGGCCTAAAAGCCTTTTATGGTAATTCATGGTGATTTCCTTCAGACCTACAATTGTTGACATTTTGACTGATTTATTGTCATTATTACTCTGTGAATATAAATTCATCGTGGTTAAATATTTAATTTAAAGATATATACAGGCCACAAACCTCAGGCCAACATTCAAATGTGCTACCAGGGAGGGAGCACATTTTAAAAGATCCATTCACTTCAAACATGTTGTGAAGTTTTTGTTTGTCCTATCTTGATACAGTAATTTTGCTATGACTGTTCCACCTGAAGGCGGGGGCTTGTGTTGCCTCCGAAACGTCGTGATTTAATCTATTTATTTTCGTTTTCCGTTTTTAACCTACGTGACTTTACCGAAAAAACCAAAGAGTATGGATCCTTGCAGTCACGAAAGCTTCAAATCTAGAATTGTCCTACCTTATTATGCTGTTACTTTAAAAAGTCTGGAAAGCCAATATGCTGACAGGCAAAACCATTTTAATGCTATGTAGAAACACAGAATGGAAATAGATTTATGTATTTCATTACCATTCCATGATTGCGTTTGGGCTCATAATAGAAATATCCTGTAGAGAACAAAAAAGGATTACATTTTGCCTTAAAACTTCCGTGACTGCAGGAATTAATGTTCTGTGGTTCTTTCGGTAAGAACAAAGGATTCTCAGATCAGAAAACATCTAATACAGAATATAGAGGTTTCATACAGGTGTTAATAATTTTATTATTATGAAAAATTTCATTAAAACAGCGATATCCAATATACTTAATGAATATTGATGTTTATACAGCATATATAATGCATCTAGTGTGTGAGCACGAATGTTATGGTATGATAGTTTGCAAATTGCACCTTCTTCCCAAAAGACCTGGGGTTATTCCTGACTATGCAATTCAGTGGTAATTGATATACCTGTTGTGAGCCTCTCCGAGGGCTAATTTGCATACAACCAGATGCCTGGGAAACTTGGGTCCTACCAATGGCAGCGCTGTAAAAGTCATGCTACATCAATAAAAAGTGTCCGTGAAAAACACTGGTTCGATCAACTACAAAGGCTACAGATGATAAACAATTCCTCCAGTGCGTGTTTGCTTGATCTTTGGCTGCATTGGGTGTTTGACGTGACCGCACATGGTCAGAGTGTAAAAAAACTGGTGATGAAAGCATCACTGCCCAGGTGTGTTTTCATTGAAAACTTTTCCAGTAAGAATCCAGCCCTCTCATCACAAAGGCAAATTGCCAAAAGACCCCCCTCCCCTGTATAACCTTTACAGACTATTGGGACAAGTGCTGCAATCGAGCACCAGTGAAGGTTGACACAGCACATGAGGCGTGGGTGAGCGGAACCACTCCCGGCTACCTTCATCTTCCCAGTGCTGATGTTTCCACTCTGCTTTAGATACTAATATAAGGCTGAGTCGACCTAGGGAAGGCCCAGGACCAGTTCAGATATAAATGTTGCCGATATGGGCTGTGAGCGGGAATCCAACTCGAATCGGTGGATTTGTAACACAGTGCACGAACTGCTACACTACCGCTCCCTTCTCATTACAAAGCCAGAGATCCCCCATATAGCCTTTGACAGACTGGTGGGGAAGGTGCTGTTAATGAGCACCTATTAAAGCCGGCACAGCACACAAGGAGGCGGGTGACCATCACCACGCCTAGCCGCCTTAGTTTCCCCAGTGCTGACGTTTACACTCCAAGTACACATTTAAGGTTGAGTTTACTGAACGGGGGCCGCTCAGGACAGGTTCAGACATTCATCACCGATGTTGGCCATGAACGGAAATTGATCTACGGTCGCTGAGTTTGAAGCGCGGTGCACTAGCCACTACACTACCTTTCCCTTCTTGTCACACACATACACACGTAGCTTTCCACAGCACACAATCTTGATGTTTTCATCGTGATGTTTCTTATGCATGGAAAGGATCATAGTGTTGGCACTCCTTCTGCTTTGATGTATACTTGGCTTTGTTTGGATTGATTGGGTTCGGGTAGGAGGTTAGGGAGTGCAGTGAGATGGGAGGAGAGGTGCTGCCATCATCTTAATATGTTCACATCAGCATGTGTGCCAATTTATTAATTGGTTAGTATAATGGCACCTTTAGAATTTTTCACCAGGGCAAAATATTATGAAAAGGATCGAACCAGCTTGCTTTTGTCACGTGCCAAAATTATGTTCCCCATAGATTGCTTTTTTAACGCTTTATATTAGTTTATATTGCTATTAAGGAAATTATTCATATCTGTTGTTTTAAATATATATTTCCTGTTTCTGAAGGAAATCTATTAAGCCATTTCAACTTGTGTACATGATTACCTAACCTACTTTAATCTCCCTTTTATTTTACCAGGTAAGGCCCATTGAGCTATACAGGTCTTTTTCAGAAGCGACCTGGCCACAAATGATTGCCCAACGAAGTGGCTTATCACGTGAAAATGGAAATGTACAGCAGCCAAATACTCTCAATGCATGTTTTAAAATGTGGAGGGAAAAACCAGAAGACCCGGCAAAAAATCCATGCGACCTCAGGGAGAACATGCAAAGTCCACATATACAGGCGTCAGGGTCGGGATTAAACCCACGACCAATGGTATACCGGGCGAGGTAGTTAGCATCTTGCCACCATGGTGCCCTTATACAGAATCACACATTACACAGAATCACTCAGGGTACCTCTCTGAACAGGCACAAATGACGGACGCGGTGAGGGTCATATGATGCGTGCGCTTGGGTCACGTGATGCATGTGATTGGGTCATCAATGATCCCAAGGCAGTTTCACATCACAAGCATTAGTCAGTCATGCCACGCGGCAATTGCGACCAAGCACATGATGCAGGCAGGCATCGCTCTGGTGGCCACACCCTGGACATGTAACCCTAGAGCAGTTTGCATGTGCATTCCCACTGTTTGCATGTGCATTGCCAACGAGAAGTCCAAAAGATTTAGCTTGCCTGCCCAGGACATTGTATGGCTTGCAACTTTTGGCAGTTCTTGAGCATTGGCTAGTATTTTTCCACATCTTGCAAAAAGATAATAAACAAAAACACGTCTTATAATAGAGCTAGGGTCAGAGGGAGCAACATTTATGCAAGTTCACATAGTTTTGCAATAGTGTTGTTCAGGTTTTCTTGCACATACATTGTATGATATTTCATATGCAGTATATGCATTAGCGATTGAAACATTTATGGAAATAAATGGCTACTAATTTCAAAAGTTAAAGTTTGCTGATGCTTCAAATTTTAACCCACAATGATGGTTTAAGTGGTTGAAAAAAGTAAGTAATGTTAATTGAAACAAAATGTTCAACTCGGAAATGAAGCTCAATGAAATATTAAATGAATTACGTGTCAATTTAAATTTGTTCAAGTTTAAGCAGGCTGCCGTGAATCTTTTGTAAAATCTATTTTTACGCAAAACAAAGACACACGCAAATGCATTACCGTGTGCGACTGTGTCAAAAGCGATCAAGCGCGATGGCAGAATACTTGTGTCATGTTCTTTCCTCTCGGTGTATGGGCTGGAAACACATTGCATAGGCTAAACCGAGCCATCACTTGTATTAACATTGTAAAAGATATGTTGACTGTATACTTTCACCAATATGTTAACATTGACATTCAAATTTGTGCTGGAAGTGGTCATGACATCAAATGGTCCCCCCCACCTCCCCCGTAAAGAGGAAGTGCAACCAAGCAGCATTACGACAATCAGCATTACATTTTTTATTACGAAAAAATAGCGGTTGTGAAAATTGGACGTGCGGGATAAACCAAAGCTGCATGTATATATTCTATTTGAAATATTAGTTTATGCCATCCAGTTTCCAAGCATCGTATTTTTATGAATTTTGAAACAAAATTGTGGTTATTCTCGATAACCTAACCCGGGTTTAATATTTCACAAATTTAAAATATTTCCACATAAGCAATGTAAAAATGTATGTATGTGGAACTTCTTTCGCACCATACGTAGGCAACCGTGCTTATCAGAGGTACTTTGGAAGTACAACATACTTTTTCAATTCAGGCAGTTAAGACTTTTGATATTGGTGTGTGTGTGTGTGTGCTCGTAGTTATTCTGTCAAATTTTGTAAAGTGTGCCATGAATATGTTCGTTTAATTTAAGATGTTTGCTGAGATATCTTCTGTGGGTCTGTGATGTTGCACCATCTTAACATCTGAAAAAAAATGCCCTGTGAGGCTTTGGATGTTGACATGATTTTGGGAGGAAGAAGAAGAAATAAAAGGCCCTTGAATTTTGAATCAAATGACAAGCTTTAGCTTGGGGTCCACTACATAACATGACAATAATTAGAAGAGACAGTTTTTTTTTTTTTGGTAATGTGCAAACATCCATGGGTGCTGACATTGCTTTTAATAATATATTTTAAAAGGACAAACTTGACCTTGTTCATGGAAATGTATTTTTACTCGCATTTTTTGTAAGCAATTGATGTCTTTTCTTTCTATTGGGGAAAAGGTCGTATGTGTATGTGTGATACATCTAATAAATACACACGGGATCATTACTGTGATGTGTACGTGGTTTTCCATCAACCAGTACGGGGTTCTCATTAATTTGTGTATTTTTTCTCTCGGAATAGAAGTCAATTTTGCCTCCCAGGAATAACCAGCAAATGTGCCATTGGCACAGTTTCCTTGCAACAGCTGGTTCGTCGAAGCATTGGCCACTGTCACGGATTTGCTTTTGGCAACCACGTGGAAAATTGGGCCCTGTGTCATTGATTTATTACAGGCGTTTTTTGTTGCCTGATAATTATCAGGCTATTATAATAGCTTCTCATTTATTAAAACGCATCTCACCATTGATAAATATTTGAGTACAATGGCGTTTGTAAATTTGCAGCTCGTGTCATCTGCAAAGTTAGACCTCTTAGCCACAATGGTGTGGCGGACATACAACGCGGATTCTTTTTATCTGCGTAGTTACTCGTCAATTTACTACACTTATCTGCAGAGCATTGCTGGTAATTACAGATAATAGGATAACATTTTCGAATAATTGTACTTATTCGTTATTTATTTTCATTATGATGCTTTTTTACCCTGGAGAGCCTCACTGAGTCTCATAACTTTTCCAGGAGGGTCCTGCCAAGTTTTTTTGCAAATGGGTAAATTGTGATAAATGCAGGTGATGTAAAAATTTGGACCATGATGTCGGTACACAATGGTCTACTGCGAATTACATCAATGGATCTTGACAGCTCATCGGATTCCTCCAGTCTAAATAAAGATGCTGATTACGATATTTAATGTCCACTGTGAACCGGCAGTAATAACAAAAAAAGGCAGCTTGCGGAATTTGAACCGGCAACCTCTGCACAAAGCAGTGAATGCGCTACCACTGGGCTCCCTTCACTGCCGCTACATAAAATATCCATAAATATTCATGGATTATAGAGCATTTCAAGTAGCCACTGGAAGGCTCTTTCTATTATCACTATTTCACTTTGTCGAAGATGCAGAGCGCATGCAGTGTAGAGCAGCGCATGATTTGAATCGATTAATTTATTGATGAATACGTGTCTGCAGTTTACCATGGTACCATTGAGAAGTTACGTGCACAGTTATGTGCACAGAGGGATTTTTTTTCCCCATTGAATGGGCCACAATGAATTGGTCTGCATCTCGGGCGTTTTACATATTGCGTTGGGGTTGTGGGGGCTTTGTGCCGTGACCTTGTGGAGGTGGACCCAGAAGGTCAGATGAGAGCCCCCTGTGGAGAATTTTTTTCAACCCATGATCTAGCACTGGTGGCCTTGGGTGGAGTGATTTATTTCTTCATCAATTAAATCACTACTTCAAAGACGGATGTTGAATTTATAGCTTTTTGCAAATGATGCATAACTAATTTATGATCGAATTTGATCAGTCACTGTCATTAGTTGCCATTCCATTTTTTAAATACAGTACTGCCATAGGATTATTAACGTTTCCGGTTGAAATTCTTATAAAGACTGTCTAAGAACTGCTGTTATTTCTTGTGTGCCTGGATACTTTATAGCCTAAGTATGACTGCTCAGAAATAGCACTGAGCAATGCTCTTTTCAGTTTCGAGCTCTGAGCCAGTTGCGGAAATTCAATGTTTCTACGGTGGAAGCCAGTGTCAAAGTAGGATATCCTATTCACTGGCCCTGTTGTAAGCTCACGGAAATGTCATGTCATTGTTCATTTGCACGTTATTCAGAACAATCAACACGGCTGGTTTAATTCCAGTGCACCATTGCGCGAGAGTGTTTGCGTGATCGACTAACATTCTTTATACGCTTCCAAACGTTTCCCGTGGCAGGCGCCTGGCTTTGGATTCGGGATCGCCATTTCCGGTGGCAAGGACAACCCGCACTTCCAGAGTGGAGAGACGTCCATTGTCATCTCCGATGTGCTCAAGGGTGGTCCTGCGGAGGGGATGCTCCAGTCAGTACATCAATACTAATCCAGGAGCACTCAAAGTGACGGGGGGCCGTTCTCTCTTGGGCCGTCTTATTTGCCTTTAGCCAGATCGTCGGCATTAATGGTGTTAATAATGCGTAGATTTTCTTGAAGATTCAGATGTTTCTTAATTGTTGCCATAATTTTTTCTTGGTTTTTATCAGCGTAGTTTTTTCTACTTTGTATTTTTTTTGTCTCCACCAATATGCATGTAATATTGTGTTTTATAAATAAAAAATAGATAGTGAATTAACAAGTCAGTGATGTATGAAGTGGGAAATGAAACACGTGATATTTTTCTCATATGAATGTAAGTGTTGTGCATGACTTCGTTGTCAGTCTGCCGGTAATATATGTACATGTTCAGATTCTTATGCCGAGGACATGTATGTCCATATCACAGAAACATAATTAGTAATTCAAGTGAATTTTTTAATACTGTAGAAGAGGAAACATTAAATGAGATAATGTTATGACATTGTTATAGGGATTTCGTCTTTGATACAAGAAGGGATAAACAGCATCATCTTTGCAAACAAGGCAATGTACACATCTCTTTTCTGGTGAGAGAAACAGAATGATTTGTGCCTGATAATTTGATTTCTTGACAGCAGAAAATCCAATATGTTATGCAGTTGTCACGTTGACTCACCTACTGAAAACATCCCTTCATAGACTTTGCAACTTATTGGTTCTTATTATTTTAACCCTTTTATATCACCGGGCTTGGATACAAATTCATAATTTTATTCGGATGACATGGGAATTTCAGCGTCGCATCGAAGTTCCCACGAATAATTAAATTGCGATTAAACTAACAATAGGGGTAAGCACAGGCATTCATGTCAGTTTCAGACCATCCATTGCATTCACACACGCACACTTACATAGGTAGTTTTACATGGGACGTGAAGGATGGTTTTCAGCCGACGTGATTGGCTCTGCATGCATGTATGTTGAACTTCTATTGTAAGACGTTCACATTCACCAGCATGAGTGTGAGTGTGAACGCAAAGAATGGTTTGTCGTCGATGTAAATCATTTTACCAAAGCAAATGTGCAGCTCGGCCATTTATGTCGGCTGTGCACCTTCCTTTGTGTTCTCGGGCACACTTACCAAAGTGCTGTGTGCCCACTGGCAGTGAGAATGACCGGGTGGTGACGGTGAATGGCAAGCACATGGAAAATGTGGAGCACGCCTTCGCTGTCCAGCAGCTGCGCAACAGTGGCAAGACTGCCAAAATCGTAAGTCTAGCAGGTGATATGCATGCACACCGATCCTCATTTTAGCATTGGTGTGTTGCTGGGGCAAGTGCTGTTGGCTCCTACCCCTATTTCACTGGCACATTCGAGCCATGCCGAGTCAGGCTATCTATCGCAGATCTGGAGGCGCCTGGTTGATTTTCCATTGCAGAAGCCTGGACCGTGCCGCTGAGACACATTCAGTTGCCCGCTTTGCCACTGGATTTTGAGTTGTGCTGACTGATGTCGCGCGTTTCCATTGGCCACGCCACGGCCCCTGATTGTCTAGAATTCAGATGTCTTGTGAGGCCAGCGTGTCATGCTTTGGTCATAGCTCAACTTGGCAAATTACCTCTCCTTGCAGTGATGGCCGCATTGGCTCGGCACGGATGTGCCAGTGTAAAAAACACAGTGGCGAAGAAGCACTACACTGACATCATATTTCCCCCCCAGGGTGTACATTAAATGTGTTCAATATATCACGAAAAACACCTGTTGGAGGCCCATCTAGATAATGATAACGATATAAAGTATATAGCATATTGCTGCACTTATTTTAGTGTATTCCATATTTTTTTGCACATTTTCTTAGCAACAATGTTTTGCTCATTAAATGTAATGTATTAACGATGCAGAAGAGACCCACTATTCACGTGTAGGATTGTAAACGAAATACTCCTCAAATAGCCATAAAAGAACAAGTGGGGCATGTGTGGAACATTTCATAATCCCCCAATAAGTGGTTTCCTTTTTGCCCTATTTATTTTATTATATGTGCTCACTGATACATTTTATTTTCATCCGGATGTTTTTTTTTCTCCTACTGGATTTTGCTCAAAGCTCAAATCAAGTGCAAGTATACATTTTCTAGCATTTTTTTTAGAAAGCACCAAAGTGAAAAGGTTGGCACCAGTAAAATCAATACACTTATGAACCTTTTTGGACCAATTAAGAGACTTAAGTTTTAATACAACCACATGGAGAACAAAACTTTATTTTACTCTTTCTGTATTACCTGGGGATTTTACATAATGCATGCTGCATTGTACATGAACTCTGGAGAAATCCTTGGTTACCTCTTTCATCTGCATTTGTTAATTGTTAAATGCTGAAATCATTTTGCACTGGGGAAGAGAGTATATGAGCGCATGGTTTTAAAACGAAATGCACTCACACCATATGCGATGCATTATGCGTCACAAAAGTGATTAGATGTAAAAGTGAAGTCCATTTGTAAATGAGAGGCGGTTGTAAAAGATGGGAAAAGGTAAGCTGTACATTTTTATACATTTGACCACTATTATAAGCTTACTGGCCAATGCATTGAATAGCTTATACTCATTACATGTCAATGCGTTTTCTGTGGAAAGCACGAACCTTAGATGGCACGAACAATTTTCGAATCCAGGGAGCCTTGCAGCAGTGAGCCAGTTTTTCTGAGATCCTAGCTTCGAAATCGGAAAGCCGTCGGTGATTAAATCATGTTTTCAAGTGTAGCGAGTTGGTGATCTCAGCCTGGTCACCAAATGCTGCACACACAAAAAAATCATGAAAATATTTTTAACTTCATTACGCTTATTGTACTTCTGAGAATTATACATTGGGTTTGATTCACTTGTGAGCAACAGTCTCTCTGGTACATATGAAAGTAGTGCACCGTGTCTGAAGTGATTTCAGAAGTAGTTCTGTGATGTCACCTTCCAGGATCATTCTCTGACACACGGTGATGTAGACTGCTAACTAACAGAAATGTATTAATCTCGTGACATGTCGTGGCTTGTTGCACTCTTGAAAATCCACATTCCCATGCCATGCAAATGATGACCACTGTCAATTTACTACGAAGTGATACTCATTTAATTGATCCTAGAGGGCTGATGAGCTGACTCAACTAAGTATTGACCTACAACATTCTCGTTGTCATTCTAGCGCTCTTATCACATCATCACCTGGCCAGATCAGAAACGTGGAGATTGACAAAGAAAATAGAACAAAGCTGAAATGTGCAAATGGAGGAATAGGGAGGGGGGGGCATGACTGAAATTCTTATGAAATAAGTAAAGATAAATATGTGCATTAAAAAACAAAGGCATGTTAAAGACGTTATTTGGACTGTTAAACCAAAGTGAACTTGGGCAGGACAAGCTGCTAGAACTTGGGCAGGAAACGGTGCTAGAACTTGGGCAGGACGCGTTGCTAATGGTGGAGGGGCAGTCAACGGAATCGTGAGAGGAAATCCACTGTGGAGCTGGAGCAGTGAGATCAATTTGTGTTCAGGAGCTCCATCGATTTATTGCATCATGAGAAGGTGGATGGCTTGCGGAAGCATCCATCCAACGGTGGCTAGATCACGGCAGACGACGATGACTATGAACATTTTAGAATATCGCAACGACGCATCGCACCAAAAATGACTTAATTCCCTCCGCAGACCATCAAGCGGAAGCGGCGAGCTCAACCGCCGTCGTCGCGGCAGCCGCTGCATGAGCCCGAAGCCGCCGACGAGATCTTCGAGGCGGCCAAGGAGGACGAGGGGGAGGAGGAGGAAGAGGAGGAGGACGACTTCGACCGGCGGAGCGCGCGCAGCTCGCGCTCCGAGCGCAGCGGCCGCAGCGCGGCTCGCCGCGGAGACCGAGTCTCGGCGGCCGGCGGAGCCAGGGAGCGAGGGCACGGCCACGCGGGCGAGAGGGCCCAAAGCCTTGGCAGGCGCGAGCGTGAGGCCAGCCTGGGCCGCGTCGACAGGGACTATGGCGTCGGCAGGAGCGAGCAGGACCTGACATCAGGACGGAGCGACAGGGAGCGCAGCGCGGCCAGGACGGACCGGGAGCGGAGCGTCGGCCGGACGGACCGGGAGCAGGGAGTTGTCGGCAGGACCGAGAGAGACCCAGTTTTGGGCCGGACCGACAGAGATCACGTCCTTGCTGGGACTGAGCGAGATCGGAGTTTAGGGAGGGTCGAACGGGACCGTGGCCTCGGCCAGAACGAAAGAGAACGCAGTTTAGGGAGGAGCGAGGAAGATCGAAATGTCATGAGGAGTGAGAGGAGCAGAGGCAGGAGCATGTCTCCAGGGTCCTCTGACCGCAGGTCTGTTGGATCCTACTACCAGCCTAAGCTTGTGAAAGTCACGCTTGTGAAAAGCAAGAAATCTGAAGGTATGCACTTCTCTGTTTTTACATACTCTTACTGCAAAGTTGCCTGAATCAAGCTCCCAAGCCACACTTTGTAATTTAATTAATCTTGTGCATTGAAGAGATTGATCAGTTTAACCTTTGTCTGACCTGGCTCACAGCAAAAATTTAAGACACTGCTGCTGTACATCAATAGGATTAGAACTAAATGAGTTTACTCAGGTTTGGAATGATCCTGTCACACCATGACCTTTGTGTGAACCTGCTGATTTATAATCATTTTACTGCAAGGCTGAACAGAGGATTATTGCATTTTTCCCTCAAATTTATTATAATGTTATTAAACAATAATGCTTTCTCGGCACAAGCTCAGAAAATAAGCAACATTAAACATTCATTGCAATTGCCTTTAAGTGTGTGTTGGTTTCAAAAAGTAGAATAGATTGTCACTAAAACATCGCCCATCAATGGAAAACCCTTCTTTGTGTGGAATGATTGTATTCCTTTGTGAATTTTGCTGGTTTTATTCTGAAGGTGTTGTAAGATGCATAATGTTCAGTCAGTAATTTGTATTATTAGATTTCAATGTAATATATTAAGATAAGTACATTAAACAGTGAAGCATGTTTTTTTAAAACAAATTCTGCTAGTGAATATCGATCCATTGGCACAGCAGGCAGGCAGGTACTGTCCAAAGTGTTCGCCTGCTGTGTTTCACCATTTTTGCCTCTTGGCACCTGCTCGTTCCACATTCTGCCCCCTTTCCACAAACTTATCGGCGTGTTAAAAGTGGCGCAGGATTTCAGCGCGGCGTCGGCTCACGTAGTCTTGTCGCACCCCGCGCAGAGTACGGACTGCGCCTCGGCAGTCAGATATTCGTGAAGGATGTGTCGGCCGAGGGGCTGGCAGCGCGGGATGGGAACATTCACGACGGGGACATTGTGCTCAAGGTAACGCGCTTCAGCCAAGCGTTCATTCATGCTCGGATCACAGAGTGTAACAAATGTGCTTTTCTGCTTTTTTTGTGTGTGTGTTTATCCCAGATATAGCACAGGGACAAAAATAGGGCCATTCTTTCAACGTGAGCAAACAGGGCTGTGACCTGGATTTTTGTTCGGTCGTTATCCCTGGCATTGCCGGCCAAAGAAATTTTCAGGTGGAAAGGTTATCTGAGGCCAAATGCTGAGGTCACCGTAGGACAACCGGGCACAATGTGCTGCATAAGGAATGATTTATTCGAACATCAACCTCAGCCTTCCACACAAAGCTGTGTAAACAAAAATATGCATAGTTGATGTTTATTATAAATCACGCCGTTTCTGCTTGCCGTTGTGGTGTGCCCAGGGAATTTAGACAGCAGAGTTCGAAGAGGTAGTGTTAGCGCTGCTTGGGAGGGGATGGATGTTGAGAGAAACGCTTCACATGAGAGATACCAGTGTTGGTAAACAAACCCCAGCTATGGGACCAATTTGAAAAGTCGCTTAGGAGAACATCGCAGCTGAAGTGAGGAGGTACAACATCTCTGCCTCGTGTTGTCTTCCCCTTGAAAAAGAGAATAGCATCCTTGGCTGCATGGTTTCATCACTTGCACAAAGTAAGTGCTGTTAATGGAGAGAGACGTTTGGCATTGTCATGTACAAGGTTCAACGCAGCTTGAGTAAAATTTTGATTTGAATTAAAGTTTTAAACCACCGTTTTCAAAATACAGAAACTCGAAAGAGTGGTGTGCTTTATGGCCTGCCCTTACTTTCCCTCTTCCTTTCCCATATAAATCAACACTTGGCCTTCTCCGCTGCCTACACGCTGGCCAATCTAATTCACGAATCCGTGCTTAAGTGACTGCTACATGCTATATGGGAAGGTCATGCCTGTATTTTAAACATTTAGAATTGGAAAATGCCACGATGCTTAACAACAAAATACAACGATATATAACACTACTTCCTCTTGTCTTGCACACCTTGTTCTAGATGTTGAAAGTATTTTTGTTGTCATTTTTATGGCCTCAAGTTGTTTACGTGCACTGTGTATTTCAACATCACATATATTGTGACTCACCCCTGCATAAATGTATGCAGTAATTTGTAAAGTGAAGTCAGTTGGTAATTGGCAGAGGTTAGTGCAGAACTACTCAGCATGCGGCCTGTTGGTCGCATCTGGCCCCTAGAGTATGGAACGTCATCCACAAATTATGGGGAGACTAATATATTAACGTTTTGCTATGATAAGGAGCCTTACTATAATAGCTTTTGTACTGCCCTTGTCCACCATTCCCCCCACCTTCTCTACATGCGTGATCTACATTTTCCTGAAATAGAAATGCTTTGAATGCATGAAAAGTGACCAACTGACAAATAAATATGAGCATAATAAAACAATTCATAATGCGCATAATGTTGCGGACCGAAGGCGCATTTCTGAGGCTCGGTTTGTACTTTGTGATCTGTGTTTAATTCTAGTGTCTAAAGCTTACATTTCAAAACTAACTTAAACTCGCTTCTTTGGATATTCAGCGTCCTCCCGAAAGGTCAGTTTAGTATGAAATGAGCAGCTGGCACTGCTACGTGTCAGTCTTCTTGAATGAAAAAAACCCGCGCATGTGTGGTGCCTATTAACCTCGTCATGTGGTCGACCATGAAACGAATTCTTCCATTGCAAAAGAACATTTTCAACCTTTTGTGGCTTCACAAAAGTACCTGGGCAAAAAGTTGAGGCGCTGTGGGAAAAACTACTTCTCTTCTGACAGATCAACGGCACAGTGACGGAGAACATGTCTTTGGCCGATGCCCGAAAGCTTATCGAGAGGTCAAAGGGCAAGTTGAGGATGGTGCTGCAGAGAGACGACCAGGGGACTCTCATCACCATTCCCGATTTGGAAGACTCCATCCCCTCCTCCAACCTCTCCGACAGGGATGGTACATAAGCCGAGCGTGCGACGCGGCCACTGCACGAAAGTTTTTTTTTTGCTGGGGGGGGGGGGGGAGTGGCAATGAGAACAAAGCACAAAGATGGTGAAATGTACACCTGTGACAGCCCACAGAGTAAACGCGTGGAACTTGGAAATATTTGCTCAGTGCCTGTGTGTGTGTGTAAACCCGGCGGCAATATGTGCAGACGTTTTTTTCTCCTTATTTTTTCTGTTATAATCACACCAAGAGAAATGTATCATGTTTTAAGTGTATGTTATTTGATTTAGAAATATCATATTATTGTATTGGCTTTATTACATTCATTACAGTGCGGTTTCTTATGGCACCTGCTGGCAGCTTGCTGTCAATAACATCCGGCAACATCGCATTTTCCCAATGGGCCTGACTAATAATGAGACCCACAAGGTTAAAACTGCTTCCATTGTTTTCCTGCTTAAGCATGTATATATTTTTTTTATGAAACGTTAGTCCGGAAGGCACATAGGCTGATGGACTACAAATAATTATTTGCATTGCAAAGATAGACGTTTGCCTGTTTACCTATCTATTTACTAAACGTTTGGTGTTGTTTGGGCCTCTGCAAGTACGTGGCTTTTTTTTTACACATGAACACCTTTTCAAACATTAACAGCATTAACGTCAGGAACACCTGCTTATCTTTTTATAGGCAAAATAAATAATGCTACGTTTCTTAGGGGGGAAAAATAGTAATTAAATTACACCTGCTTTGTCGTTTGGGGGGGGCCTAAGGACAATCAGATGAAACTTTCTTTCTCAGATTACCCGGCGTAACATCCCAATAGGCGTCAGGTTGAGGCTGATTGACTTAATTGACATGCTATGCCAAGTAGAAAGTGCACCCATCACTTGGCAGTTGGTCCCAGTAGTGGGCAGGCAAATGTGTATCATGGTGGGAAGCACCTGAGCATCTGGACAAGGTAGTGCATTGGCATCCTAATAGAAACAAATTAGTCATTCCTCTCTCTGGGGCCTATGCAATGTTGTGTGTGTGTGTGTATATGCAATGTTGTGTGTGTGTGTGTATATATATGGGAGAAACTGCCTGGGATGGAAGCGCATGAGATTCCATCGTTTCCTCGGGGTGGAAGTTGACGAGTGGAAGTAAAAGAAAAGAGACAGCTCTTTTTTTTTCAAGAGCTGCAGAAGGATTGCATAAAATATAAGTCGGCTATGATGCTGCAACACATTAATAAATGTATGTTTCTGAATTATTACAGTACCGCACTACGCCGAACTTTGCTCCGTTATCTGAGCATTTTCACACTCAATGTGTTCAAATCAAATTAGTCGGAATCATAATCTTTTTTTAAAGATCACTTCTATTTCTTCCGCGAATAAAATTTAAAAAAGAGACTGCACGTTACAAAGGGACAAAGCTAGTCGATGTGTAAGAATGTTGAAACTGAATGTAACATTGCTGCAAATGATGCTTTACAGGCGAAGATATCAGTTAGTCAGCATGCTCCTGAATTAATATGAGATACAATCGGTAGTAAGTGGTGAGGGTTATAAATGACCAACAAAAAACTATCGATTATTTCTATATTAAACGATATCAGGTGGTTGACAGTCAAATATTAACACTGTCAGGACAGTTTACCTCTCTGTTGTGCGCATTGTCTACAGGAGCCAGTGACGGGTTGCTTTCTTGTGTGCACAAGTGGTGACGATGCCCTTTGTTGTATGGCTACAGACATCTCTGAGATCCAGTCTCTGGTTTCGGAGCCGTCGGACGAAGCTCAGTCTCGTCAGAGCAGTCGCTCCCGCTCACGAGAGGACATCAGGTCTCCCGAGAGTGAAACGCCAAGCAGATCCACTGGCCAACCTTCCACCAGGTACCGCACCTTTTGGCACCACGGCTCTAACGGTACTCCATCTCACCCGAGTGTGTGTTCCTGTTTTTTATATTACACTTCTTTACCCAGGATAGCCTCACTAAATGTCCCGTGACTTTATTTTTAGGAAGATCGTTTTCGCAGTAGGGATGGGGGCAATGATTGCCGTGCATATTTCCGATTGGGTTATTTTGCAGGTGATTTTTAAAGTGTGGCCTATTTGGACCGTGTCGCCGACACACAGCGGCCCACTCTTGCGAATGACTTCAAGGGATCTTTAACGTCCACTGTGAAGCAGACGCTGCATATCGTATTGTTATCGCACCCTCAGTAATAACCGGGGCAGACGCTTGATTAGAACCATGAGCCTCTGCCACAAGCGGTAACCGCGCTGTTGTTGGGCCGCTTCACCGCTCAACAAGACGCACAGCCACACTTCCTGCTTCTTAATCAAACTATGGTTTTAATTTATCTTCACTGTTAAACTCACGTACGTCAGCGTTTTGCCTGATGTATATTTAGTTTTGTTAGACTCTGCTGCTGAAGCAGTATGAGCTGGTCACACAAACAATGACAGCATTGTCTTTCAGTATTATATGACGGTATTGAGTAAAGACAAAGCTGTGTTTGTTATGTGTCAATGCTTTGAGGTTCGTGTGACTTGTAAGGCATATACTCTTCCCCCAAAATCCATTGATGATTGAAGGTGAGTACATTAACGTTAAAATGCTTGATCTCTGTAATTACGCGAAAGTACGTATTCAGTTTATTTGAAGAGTAACAATGCCGAATGAAATCTTCGTAACTTTGGAGTGACTGAAGTAGTGCACTGGTGTCACTCACATCCTAAAGATCACCGGTGCGTGGAGGCCAAGACAGCACAGCAGCAGCCGAGTATGAAAGGCTGGTGACTTGGCATTGATAAAACAAAGTCATCATAAAGCCATGCGAACAAGCACATAAAATCAATAGGGAATGACAGCTGCTCCAAATCAAGGGGGGCTTGCATCTAGCACAAACAAGAAATGAAAGCAAAATCTGTGGAGCAAGCAGCTGCATGACTTCTCTGAAGAATGGGAAGCCCGCCAGGAAATGATAAGGGCGGTAAATCTACAACAAAGGACCGCGGAGAACAGACATTGGCGATGTATAGGAATGCAGTGGCATCCCTTGTCAGAGCATTGACCTTACCACTCCGTCACTGTAGCATTGAATAAGTGCCGACACTATTTTGTCCCCAAAAGGGGAGGTATGCTATAGAGGGGGATAGTTTGTAGAAATAATACATTAAAAGTCACATTCAGTTTTCGTATGCCTTCACTCACCACTTGGCTCCACCGCCCATTAGCTTCTTGACTTGCCACTCTCAACATGCCTTCGGTTGTACGGTGCTTGTCACTCGTACACGCTGACTCTTTCAACGTCAAATATTTGATGCGATATATTACAGAGCATGTGTCGAAGTGTATAGGTAGAGCGGTAAAGTATACTTACATAAGCCACAGCCAGTTATATATTTTCCATAGATTCGTGCAACCTCTTCAGCTGTTCACAAGTGTGGCCAATAGGAACATGCAAACATCTTTAACATGTTTAAGCAAAGGTTTCAGAATCAGAATCGTTATTTAGACTGGAGGAATCTGATGAATTATCAAGCTCATTTTTTTACAGATGTCCATATTTACTGGGGAAACTAAAGTGTTACATTTATTTGGGAATGTGCCCTGGATTTTGTTTGACATTGAATGTGGATCGGTTTTTGTTTCAAAAAAATGTGTGCTTCCACAGATTGTTTTAGTTTTTGTTGTTGTTTTGCCATCGCATTGCTTGAGGTTACAGGGCGTTTGCAAAAACAAACAAAACGGTGTAATATCGTCTTTGTCACTGAGTATTTATTAAAGGGTGGCCTGTGAAAGCGTTAAATCAGTCACAGCTAAGGGGATCACGCATGCGAAATGCTGCGGTGCGTTTTGTGACATGCTGGATAATGCCCGCTTTGTTCTGATGACACAAGTGGATGGTCACACTAATGGGCGAGGGGCCTGATAGCTCAAAGCAGAAATCGCACATCAACTAAAAATAAATGAATGCCGTGTAGTTAAATGTACACATACCTGTGCTTGCGGCATCAGCATTTATGCGGTACGAGTATATAATGCGTTAGCCTTTGACCCACCACATTTATTTTGCTTTGGGCAGCTCTCTAATGGTATTCTTTCCAGTACACCCTTTGCAAGATAGATAAAAGATAGATGAAATTATATTTCAAATCGGGGAAACTATTGCAAGATGAAAACCATTTTTGTTGTTGTTGCTTTTTATGCTTTATTAAAATGATTTAAAAGGTGACGTTTTTAACAGGGTAGTCAATTATTCAATGTACTTGCCATATCCTCGAAGTCTTACGAGCCGATATCATGACTGGTCCAAGCAAAGCCAGGGCTGCGTATTATAGGCATGTAAAGACGAATTGATTAATTGATTAATACAGTGCATATTGTTAAGCTCAGGATGCACGTGTAAATTCAAATGTGACTAACATGTAAAACAAATAATGGAATCTTCAATGAGTGATCCTATATTACAGCTCAACATGGGGTACAATTAATGACATATAACATCAAATTGTATACTGCTGTACAGTAATGTCTCAGAGTACGCTGACTCAGAGTGCGCGGACCCGCTCATACGGGACCGACCCCGAATCAAACTTACACTAACGTGGATTTGAGGGCTTGTAACTGTATCGCCCGCGCAAGAAACAAGTCCAGAAAATATCGTGTTCTATCTGACCTGGATGCTACTGATGATTAGTGAATAATTTACTGTACAGTACTGTACTTTATTAACATGTATGTACATTTATATCCATTTTATATGCACTCCTATATTGTGTATATACACTCGTATAGGCGAACACCCCCAAATTACGCGAATTCGCGCTTATGTGGGGGTACACGGAACCCAACCCTCTGAGACCTTGCTTTACAACATAATTCACAAGAGTCCGTCTTCGCTTGTCTGTATTAGCCCACATTCAGATAACTAACTTGCCATAGAGTCTGAATTATGGTATATTTACCCAGTTCTCCCTTACACTTGTTATATTTTTCTCACGTATTCACCTGGTTATAAACCAATTGATTGAATGGTATCTGGTCATTTTTACTATTCAACTTAGAAACTGGTTTCGAAATAACTGTAATTTTAGTAAAAGTGCTCTAATGAATCTAAAGTATGAAAATAACATTTAACATTTGTATTCTGGCGAATTGCCCGATGATGCTGGATGCAATTACCAGCGAAACGTCGCACTCAAATTGTAAATGTTGTGGTTTCACGCTTCAACACACCGGTGGGCTAAAGCAGTGAACTATTTGTCTTTTGTCAACGTGACACTTTTTTACTGATTGGCCGTGTCGGGTGGTGGAGGGTTACGACACATTTATAAATAACGCGATCTAAACCCAAAAACGTTGATTATGAATAATATTGGTCGCGAAAGCCTACGTGTTAAACTGATTTGTATCCATGTGTATCTTCTTTGATTTGGTACCACATATAGCTATGGTCCCGTGTTAGGATTAATGTTCTTTTGACCAGCACACACAAGTGATGTATGTGCTTACATTGAGTTTGAGGCACATTTGTTTTGTTGCTTGGTACTGTAAAGTAAAATAAAATACATATAGGTTTCATTATATGTTCTGGTTATAGGGTAATGGCATATCGATCAGAAACATGGACAATTCTTGTTTTTTAAACGAAAAATTGCACAAAGAAGCGTGGAGAGATGCATGCTTGGAATTACTTTTAGAGACAGCAGCAGGCGGAGGAGCACACGGATTGGAGAGCATGTGCAGGTTAAAGACATTGTTCTAACTGTTTAAGAAAAGTCCGTGGGCTTGTTGCAGGACACATCGCTAGATGCGGTGGAGGCCCTGTGGTCAATAAATGTTGGAGTGGCAGTCAAGGGCTGGAAAGTGCCTGGATTTTTTGCCGAACAAGGAGATGGAGCACTGCAATCAGCTCGTGTGCAGATGCTAGGTGGATTATCTTACCTTATATATATAGGGCCTTACTCCGAGGCGCTTTGCAATCATTGTACAATTATACATTAGATTGTAGTGATTGCAATAAAGAGTGGGATCGTGAGAGATGGTGGCAGCTTTGTAAGGTCGTGGCTGCTGATGAGAGGATAATATGTGCCTATGTAGTGGTGTATATGTAATGCTGTATCGGTGTTAGTGCACACAAGGTTTGCAAATTCCTTTGACAGTTCTTACTGACTACTGCTGTCCTGCTAATGGTGCTCATCATGCAACTATGAACGCATCTCTGCTGCTATACAGGATCCTCTTGAGGGTGTTCCTTTAACTAAACTCCTCATTTCTGAAGAACTTAAAGGAAAATACTGTATGTAAGAAACAAGAAATTCAGGAAAAAATTTGATTGAACAATTGAACAGGCTTAAGCACAAGTAACTTATTTCTAATTGAAAATAATTGAAATCATGGTTTATAATAGATCTGCCATGAAGAAGGGCTCATGTTAGAAATGTTGGGCAATTTCTATTTTTCTTGAGGGCAGTGTTTATTCACGATTGTGTTGATATCTTTGTTATCCATGCGTACAGGTCGTGTCTTGGTTGTTGTCATGGAACTTGAGTTCATTGTAAACACTCCATTCATAACCTTTTAGAGTACTCTAGTTGTTTAGTGGAACATGGTTATACGGCCCTTTGTCATTATACTGATGAACTAAATTCTCCGGCACCCTATGTCAATCCATAGGTGTTTGACCATATTTCACGTGGCTGGTGATATAGTTCACTGAAAAATATCACCTGATTGTTGTCCATGTGATCATTTCCTTTTGTCCATGTGTCCTAAAGTAAAAGGTTTCAGAAACTTTTGACACAAAGAGAGCGCGAGAATTACAGGTTTAACAGCGTCACTAAACAATGGAGGATTTAGCATGACAGGTTGTTTACCTACTGT